ACTTCAAAGTATATGCAGGACCTGGCTGCTTCTCCCCACATCCTCCTCTGTCACCCTCTGCCATCTTCTCTAGCCTGGATTACTGTGGTAGCCTCCTAGTTGCTCTGGAGCTTTTCCCTTTGCCCTCCTTTTCTAGTCTATTCTTAACAAGGTGTCAGAGTGATCCTTTGATACACAGGCACATCACATCGTCCTTACTGATCCTGAAAGATAGGACCCCCTCCTGCCATTCAGTGACAGCCCACATCACAGTAGTAGTCAGGGCCCTGCGTGATCTAGCCTCCTGTTCCCGCTCCGATTTCCTCTCTTCCTCATTTATTCCAGGCACTACAGCCTCCTTTCTGTTCCTCAGACATGCCAGACCTGCTCCATCTCGGGGCCTCTGCTGTACCTGCCCCCCTGGCCTGCACGGCGTTCTTCCTCTGCGTATCTGCTTGATTGACTCTCTCGCCTCCTTCAAGTCTGTGTTCAAATCAGACTCTATTACCAGCCTACCAGTTTTGATCATCTCTTTTCATAGCTCAGCCCTGTGGCCCTTCTCTCCTCACAAATGGTCCCTAATAGCCTGTTTTTCTTTTTCCCATATACTTAATTATTTCCCAATATCCTTATATAGTTATCATGTTTATTGTTTATTTTCTCAGACTGCCCTGCCCCCATTAGAATATAAACTGCATGAGGACTGGGATCTTTTTGTTTTGTTCCTTCATCCCTAGAATGGTGCCAGACACCTACGAAGAGCTCAACAGATCACTGTTGAATGAGTGGATTAATAGATTTTAGCTGCATTTCTGCTATGGTAAACAATGGGAAGGGAGAATGGCTTTGTATCATGAAATATTTTGCCTTTTAAACTATCTCATATTTTCTTCTGAGGAAGTCAAATTCAACTATCGTTTTCATTTCAGAATTCAGTATTGTACACAAGAAATTATTGTCTTTCGTGAAGACTTAGTGAATAAAATGTGCAGAAACTGTGTCCGTTCCCCGAGCAGCAATTTGGATATTCCTAGTCATGTAAGTTGAGTCTTTATTAAACTATCTTAAGAGTTGCAGTATATAAAATTCTGTTACATCACTTAATAATTTGCCCTTTTATGTTTATTTATGGTTCAAATTAATCCGAACATACTTTGGTCAGTAAGTTAATTTTTGTTACTAAGTCAGTGTTTCTCAACTGTCTTACTGAAGTCTGCCTAATGGGCAGAGGGAAACCTAGAATGAACAGGAAATTTCTTTGAGGCTTCCTATTTTGCTTTTAACACTCATAAATCTTACATTGTCCTTCAAAATATATGTATATTTGTTTTAAAAAGATGTTTCTATTCTTCACATTCATTATATGATACGTCCACATTAGGAGGATGTGTAGTGTTTATCTTGTAGCTTCAAGGTTCCCTGACATAAACTTGTCAGTCCCTGGTTTCATGTACCCGCCCTGTACCACTTTGGGAAATGTGAAAGTAGATCATACAGAGCATTTTTAGTATTTATTTTATAACATTAATGTTTATGTAGGCTGTTTATCTATTCTTGGCATTACTCAAGCTGTGGAATTATTTTTAGAGGAACATAATTATAATTAGTAGCTGAGTTTATTATACAACTATAAGTACAGTTGCTCCAATATGACTGTTTGGGGGAGTAGCTTTTTTTTTTTTTTTTAAAGATTTTATTTATTTATTTGTTTGTTTGTTTGTCAGAGAGAGAGAGAGCACAAGCAGGCAGAGTGGCAGGCAGAGGCAGAGAGAGAAGCAGGCTCCCCACCGAGCAAGGAGCCCAATGCAGGACTCACTCCCAGGATCCCGGGATCATGACCCGAGCCAATGGCAGAGGCCTAACCAACCGAGCCACCCAGGTGTCCTGGGGGGGAGTAGCTTTTATGACATATGGTATTAAATGAAAACTTAGAGATTTTTCCTAAAATACAGGATAGTTAATTCCATTTCATTTTTTCCCCAAGATTTTATTTATTTGAGAGAGAGCGAGCAAGAGTGGTGGGGAGGGGCAGAGGGAGAGAGAGCAGCATACTGTGCACCGAGCAGGAAGCCTGACCTGGCACTCCATCCCAGGACCCTGAGATCATGACCTGAGCCAAAGATAGACACTTAATGGACTGAGTCACCTGGACACCCCTTGTTTCATTTCATATCAGTATTTCCTAAAGCTCTGTGATTCAAAGTCTCCCTAATTGTTTCTCAAATTTTCTAAGTCCTTTTGGTAAATAATATTTAATTTAAAATGATTTGTTAGCAATTTTAATTTTTACAAATGAACTGACATTTGTTTTATACCATTCTTTTTTAGTTTGTAAAGACTATCTTATCCCAAGGCCACCTGACTCCTCTACCTCTTTATGTCTGCCCAGTGTACTGGGCGTATGACTATGCTTTGAGAGTGTACCCTGTGCCTGATCTTCTTGTCATCGCGGACAAATACGATCCTTTTACTCTCACCAATACAGAATGCCTCTGCATAAACCCTGTAAGAACACAGTTAATGTTATATAGTCATAGTTTGTCAAGATTAGAGTGTTATTTCTTTAAACTTAAAAAATATGTATTTAGTAAGATTATTGTTGTATAAAAATGTACTATTAGTGAAACACTGAGTTAATTTGGTATACACAGAAAGTTCTTCAACATTCAGGAAAGCATATGACGGTAAAGTAATGTGACTTAAAAAAAAAAGTACATCAAAGCATATAAATCTAAATGCATATTTTCCCCTTCATAGTTAACTGCCTTGAGATTCCTTTCTGGGAATTGCTTTCAGAGCCTCTGTCTCATTCTCTTTAAATATATTAATTTCCTTTGTGAATGATTTTGATTTTTGGAAATATGTGCAAGTCCCAGAAATGTGTAAGCCTGATGAATATGGAAATTCTTACTGGGATGTAATTTCTACAGAAGTATGATTGCCTTTTCAAGTTTTGGGAATAAGTACTGCATAAACATTGTTGATGTGAAACAAAATATCTTCACTAGTGATATTTAAACTGTATGTTTCCTTGATTCTTGTGAATTTTAGACTGTAATACTTTTTTTTGTTTCATCTAGGTCATTTCTAGAAACATCATGACTTACTGTTGGTTACCGCTTTCCTCAAACACTCTTTGTCCAACTCCCTCTAAGAGAGGGTTTCTCAACCATGGAACTATTGATATTTTGAACCAAATAATTTTACTGTGGGCCACTGTCCCTGGCATCGTAGGGCAACTGTGCAGCATCTAGCCTCTCATCCCCACATGCCAGTGGCAGCCCCCAGTTGTAACAAACAAAAATGTCTTAGGATATTTGCCAAATGTCCCCTAGGGATGACATTATCTGTGGTTGAAAACTGCTCTAAGGATGAAGCACAGTCAATGGATTTGGTTTCATAGTTTAAAACTTACGGCCTGATTTTTTTAGAATTTTTATTCACTTTCCAATATTCTTTCACAATAAGGCTATTTCTTTATTTAAATTTAACTCTTTGGCTGTTCTCATAGTTAATGCTTTATTGGATAACACCTTATTTCTGAATTTTCCTACTTTGTCTTCCTGTCAGCCAGTAAACAACCATCTCTTACACCAACATTATATCCTTTTTTACTTTATACCTTTTGAGCAAACCTAAAACTTTTCACATTGCTTCATCCCTTCTTCTTTTTTTTTTTTAAAGATTTATTTATTTTAGAGGGAGAGTAAGAGAGCATGAGTAGGGGGAGGGACAGAGGGAGAGAATCTTCAAGCAGCTCCCCACCGAGCGCGGAGCCCAATGTGGGGCCCAATCCCCGGCCCAATCCCACCACCCAGGAGATCACTACCCGAGCCAAAATTGAGTCAGATGCCCAACTAACAGGCACCCTGCTTCATCCCTTCTTGATACTTGATACTTGATACTTACTCACCCTAACGAATGCCTGCAATGGACTAGACATTGAGTTAGTGCCAGGGACACAGAGCCTGAAATGAACAGACAATCTCTGCCCTAGAGTTTAGTAGACACACAGTTGTGTTACTGCTCAGTTGCTTTGGGGGCACATCCGGGGGCCATCAGTGCTGATTTTCACTGCAGAGAGGGGCAGGAAAGCTTTCCTGAATGTGATGTTCAAGTGTCTTATATGCATATATAGCATCACATGGTACTGTCTCTTACACTGAGTATTTCTTACTCCTAAGCATTTCCAGTTACATCTGTTAGTATAAGACTCTCTAGCCAACTAGAAAGACTTGCTTCGAGTGGAAACATTTTATATTAGTATCTTCTCCCTATAAAGATCAGAAAAAAAAAAAAAAAACCCTCTCATTACTTTTTAGTTACATCTTACAACTTTAAGTCATGACCAAGGAATTTGATCTTAAATACAGTAATTCTTTTATAAAAGTTCAGTATTCACTTACAGGCATTTTTTTTTTTTTTTTCTCCAAAGGGCTCTTTTCCAAGAAGTGGATTTTCATTCAAAGTATTTTATCCATCCAACAAGATAGTAGAAGATAGGTAAGTGTACCCCCAGAAACAGCAAGGAGGAGTTGTCTTTTGGCTTTGTATTGCTGAAAATCAGATGTCCTGTAGGTGTGTTGAGGTTTTAAAAGATGTCTGTGTTGGTCCTTTGGAAATGTTTCAGGCTGAACTTCTGGTCATACTGTGGGACATAGAATTGTATGTACTTGATAAAAGAGATTAAGAAGTGTTTTCTGAGGGCTGTCTCAGGCCAGCCACAGAGGTGGGCTAGTTCTCTCACAGGCTAACTCCTGATGATGTTTGTGTTCTGAGAGGTCAGCCTCACCCTCCACGTGGTTGATTCTCAAAACCTAGGCAGTCGGCCTTAAACTGGCATTAACGAAGTGTGTGGGGAGGGCATGGGGTGTTAGTGATGGTGAGAGGTTGGGGTTGGGGCGTTGTCTTGGGGATAAAGAATAATCCATGTTGGGGGCTGGGTAGTGGTTTTCAAAGGGTTATCTCTAGACCACCCTCATCAGAATCCTCTGTGAACCTTGTTAAAAATGTTAAGTTTTTCACTTCACCCTGACAGGGGAGATAAAATGATCATGAAAGTGGTTTTCCCAAGGTGAGGCTTATCTGTTGCACTCCCTATGTGCTGACCCTGGCAATTTCCCCAAATGTGGGAAATCTAGCTGTGTAATTTGTGGTAGTGGGGGGCTGTGTTTGTGCTCTCTCCTGGGCAGGATTGGGGGGGAATCCCACTCCAAACTTATCAAATGATTCTCTAGTTGTAGGGCCCAGGAATAAGCATTATTGATACCATTTCTCTTGGATTCAGGCAGCCTAACACATGATTTCTCAGTTAATCATATTTTGAAAAAGCAGCTTCCCCCTTCAGATAAGAACAAGTGACCAAATAACTGCCTCCCAGGTTCTGATCAGAGAATGTAATTTTTTTTTTTTTAAGATTTTATTTATTTGACAGAGAAAGAGAGAGATCACAAGCAGGCAGAGAGGCAGGCAGAGAGAGAGAGGGGAGGAAGCAGGCTCCCCATGGAGCAGAGAGCCCGATGCGGGGCTCGATCCCAAGACCCTGAGATCATGACCTGAGCCGAAGGCAGAGGCTTTAACCCACTGAGCCACCTAGGCGCCCCAGAGAATGTAATCTTGAACACACAGCTCAGTTGTCTTTATTTTTTGGTAATTAACATATTTATTTAAATGAAATGAATACAAGTACATGATAAAAATTTCAAACAATGCTCAAGGTATAGAATTGAAAAGGAAAAATACATCTGCTTCCTAACCCTGAAACCATAATTAAGTTTTCTATATTTTTTAAAGATTTATTTATTTGAGAGAGAGAGGGTATGCACGCACCTAAGTGTGGTGGGGAGGGGCAGAGGGAGGGAGAGAGAGAATCCTCAAGGAGACTCCTGGCTGAGCACAGAGCTTGACTTGGTGCTGGATCCCAGGACCCTGAGATCATGACCTAAGCCGAGATCAAGAGCCAGAAACTTAACCAAATGGGTCACCCAGGTTGCCCCTTTTATATATTTCTTAAAAAAACAATTATGCATTGTTCTTACCACTCAGTACTCATGGAAGATTTAAGTCCATTCACTTTATGAGCTATTCTAAGTTTTCCTCTTGGATTTACTCATTTGACATATATATGATTCTTACTGTATTCCACACACTGCTTGGTTTTTGGAATGAATATAACCAGACAGATACTCTCATTAAGGTCACAGATCTTCTAGTCTCTTCTATAAGCCCCAAACTATATATGTTTGACTTTACCTAGACCAATTTGAATCCTAAAACACCAAAACTGATTCGGAATGCCCTTAGGTAAGAGCAAGAACTTGCCTCCAGTGTCTCAGCTGCTTGTCCTCACCAGGATGCCCCTGAGGGCATTTGATTTTGTGACCCAGGATTACTAAGGGCTGTCTGCCTGGAGCATATTTTGTCCAACTTTAGAATGACTTCTACTGAACTGCAATTTGATGTGAAACTTACTCTGCCAAGGAAAACCAATATGGGGACTTTCAGCAGGTCTCAGGCCAAGGGGATTCTGTGTCTATCCCAAGCAACTGTTTATCTAGGGGAGACTGGGAATCTTCTAATGAACTCCCTTTGTTTTAGCTGGCACAACCAAATATGTAGCCCAATCCTCTAGCTGCAGAGGAATTACTACCATAAATGTTGGGCGTGGCCCTGACTTCATCTTTTTTTTCTGAACTGTATTTTCCCACTACTTGAATTTCTTCATTTATTTTTATCTTTTTATTCATTTGTCTCTGCAAACCATTTTATATTCTTTTTTTTAAATGAGCTGGGATAGAAATAAGTAAACCACAATAGGAAATTAATTGATTTATTAATTATGATAGCACAGGACATTTCAGTTACATTTCTGATATAGTGTTCCTTGGGTGCCATGCAGAATTGTTAGGTGTTCTAAGCACTTTTTACAGAACTCTGTGATAGTTCCACACATTATGGTATTAGAAGTCATATATGTACCCATCTTCCTTAAAAGCTTCTAATATAGCCCTTGACTTGAGTTGATGCTCATCATTCATGGGGTTGAAATAGTTGGTTCCTTTATCATATAGCTGCTGAAAAGCCTTGACATGATTTCCAGACTATAATTGAGTAGTGATAATTGAAGGAATCTTTTTAGTGCTTGATCAAACAGGTTGATGATGTACATTTACTTTTGAGGGAACAGAAACCATTTCAAGATATAGTGGAATCATTTGGTCTTCCTGCTACCTAGTTCCCCCAAAGAAGAAATCTTTTGGTAAATTACTTGTGAAATCATATTGTAACATTAATCACAGAAATGTAGTTGAAGTCAGTAAGGTTAACCCTGTTTCAGCAGGAACTCTCATACAATTGTTTATTTTAAAACATACTATTGGTGATGTAGTGGAGAAATACCCATTTTCACACATAGCTGGGTGGAATAGAAAGTGGTAAAAACCCTTATGGAGGGCAATTTGACAGGTTTCCTTAAGACCCAGACTGTATATACCAGCATTTACATTTCTAGGAATTTATCCTACAGATATACTTGGGCTTATACATCAAAGTAAGTACAGGTGTTTTTATTGTAGTTTTTGTAATAACAAAACAAATGGCTTAAATGGGTACCCAAAAGGGGGTGCCTGGGTGGTGTGGTCAGCTGCGCATCTGACTCTTGGTTTTGGCTCAGGTTGTGATCTCAGGGTCATGAGATCGAGCCCCCTGTTGGATCAGTGCAGAGTCAGCTTGGAACTCTCTTTCCTTCCCCTGCTGCCCCCTGCCCGTACTCTCTCTAAAATAAATAAATAAATAAATATTTTAAAAAAATAAATAAATGGGTACCCATTTAAATGTGTGTACTTTTTTTGTTTGTTTGTTTGTTTGTTTAATGTGTGGGGGGGCACCTGGGTGGCTCAGTGGGTTAAGCCCCAGCCTTCAGCTCAGGTCATGATCTCAGGGTCCTGGGATCGAGTCCCACATCAGGCTCTCTGCTCAGCGGGGAGCCTACTTCCCCCCTACCCCCCTGCCTGCCTCTCTGCCTACTTGGGATCTCTGTCAAATAAATAAATAAATCTTAAAAAAAAATGTGTGTACTTCTTAGAACTTTTCAAATGTATTTAAATTTCAAAATCTTAAAGGAAGGGATTAGTTTTAAAAATTATAGGTAAATGTATTACCAACTGAAAAAAGGTGTAAAATAGTGTGCACTGTATTCTAACACTTGTATATCTTTTTAAAGCATATACCCCCATATAGATGCTTATATATGATTAGACTGTCTTTATAAGGACAAATAATTGGTTCTAAGAACAGAAATAGAGTGTGAGACTGATTTATTTTTCACTCTGTCCCCTTTTGAATTTGGAACAATATGCATGTAATGACCTATTTTTAAAATGAAGTACTTAGAAATGTACAATAACTTAGGTTTCCAACATGTTTAATTTTATGAATTTCTATTTTCAGCAAACTTCAAGGTTTTTGAGATTCTTAAAGAGCATCTGAAGAAAGAAAATTCTATCAGTTCTGCTAATTTTATATGTATGTGATTTTGATAAGTTCCAATAAAATTATGATAAACTCTAGAATGTTCTTAAATTTGTATTTTATGGGGCACCTGGGTGGCTCAGTGGGTTAAAGCCTCTGCCTTTGGCTCGGGTCATGATCCCAGGGTCCTGGGATTGAGCCCCGCATCAGGCTCTCTGCTCAGCGGGGAGCCTGCTTCCTCCTCTCTCTCTCTGCCTGCCTCTCTGCCTACTTGTCATCTGTCTGTCAAATAAATAAAAATCTTTTTTAAAAAATTGTATTTTATGAAGTTTTGGTATTAAATTACAACAAATAGGGGCGCCTGGGTGGCTCAGTGGGTTAAGCCTCTGCCTTTGGCTCAGGTCATGATCTCAGGGTTCTGGGATCGAGCCCCATATTGGGCTCTCTGCTCTGCAGTGAGCCTGCTTCCTCCTCTCTCTGCCTGCTTCTGTGCCTGCTTGTGATCTCTCTCTCTCTGTCAAATAAATAAATAAAATCTTAAAAATAAATAAATTACAACAAATATGGTACACTTGACAAAGTTTTACAGCAAAAATATTTTCTGTATAGTCTTAATATGAAAATATGCATGAAGATATAACCTGATTTATGCTTAAAAACTGGTTTCATTATTCTAGGCTAATCATATGCTAATATTCATTCTAAAGAAAATACAAATATTTAAAATTTTCTGATTCCTTATTTTGTCTAACTTGAGTCCTAATGTTAGATTTAGCAATCTTCCAACTAAATTTAGAGTCAAAGAATTTATTCTAATGCTAGTGAAAACCTGTATTACTAAGATAATCATTTCATAATTATATTTTGGCACTGGAGTTTTTTTAAGATTTTATTTATTTGACAGGGTGAGACAGCAACAGAGGGAACACAAGCGGGGAGGTGGGAGAGGGAGAAGCAGGCTCCCCACTAAGCAGGGAGCCCGATGTGGGGCTCAATCCAGGACCCTGGGATCATGACCCAAGCCGAAGACAGACACTTAACCAACTGAGCCACCCAGGTGCCCGTGCACTGGAGATTTAAAAACACATGGTCACTGTAGGCTTTACATTTAGAAGACACATTATTTTGAAGCAGCAGGTTTTGCTATTTGGATGTGATCACTTAATACCATCCCCTTACTTTTAGTTTACAGCATTGCAATAATAGCCTAGAAATGAATGTGAATGACAGGAAGTGGGGGTACAAAGAATATTTCAAATGTAGGAGTAATCTTTTTTTTTTTTTTAAAGATTTTATTTGTTTATTTGACAGACAGAAACCACAAGTAGGTAGAGAGGCAGGCAGAAAGAGGGGGAAGCAAGCTCCTTACTGAGCAGAGAGCCCAATGTGGGGCTCGATCCCAGGCTTCTGGGATCATGACCTGAGCTGAAGGCAGAAGCTTTAACCACTGAGCCACCCAGGCACCTCAAGAAGGAGTAATCTTAATATTACAAAAAGCCTGGAATGGAAGACATTTCTTTGAAAGAAAATTAGCTTTTGGGGGAAGAGAGACTGATAAAAATAAAAACCACACACGGAACGGAAGATTTCTTAATAAGACTTAATCTGAATGTAGTGATAAGTGAATTAAGTTAAGGGTGAAGTGGCAATTTGAGAAGTGGTTTGAAGATGGAAAATTTTGGGAGAATGTTAGTAGAGGCCTGATGTTAGAAGAGCAA